GATCTTTTGCCAGTTGGATCCGTCCAGGGCCAGTACGTTCCAGTACTTGCACACTCGTGCGCAACGGCATAGCGTCACCACGTCGAGGTGCGAGAAGATCCTGGAAGGCAATAACAGACAATCGTGAAAACGGCAAAGAACGAAGAAGAAAAAAAAAACAAGCAACAAAACCCGACACCTTAGACCGCTCAGGAGGAGATATTCAAGCTCCTCCGATTGCATAAAAAAAAATTATGGTGTTGATCTGATGACGAGAACGCTAAACAATTCACATTTTGTCACAACAAACAATTTGAATTCTTCAGCCTGTTGCCGAAAAATTCAGAATATCCTGCCATGATTCGCTCGAAATTTATCTCGTAGGACCACTACTTCCTACTTTCGTTTTTTTTGAAAGAAATTTAACGCGTCGTTTTCTCGAATTACAGGATGTGGGAACGCTAAAAAATTCACATCTTGTTACAACAAATAATTTTTAAAAATATTTTAAATTCTTGAGTCTGCTGCTGCAAATTCAGAATATGTCATGAAATTTATTTTCGCATGAAATTTATCTAATAAGAACACTATTTCCTCCCTTTTTCCGAAATAAATTTAACACGTCGTTTTCTAAAATTACAATTTGAAATGGGAACGCTAAACAACTCACATCTCGTCACAAAAAAAATTGTTAAAAATATTTGAGATTCTTCAGTCTGCTGTTGAAAATTCAGAATATTAGGTCATTATTCGCATGAAATTTATCTCATAAGACCACTACTTCCTCCATTTTTAAGAATAAATTTAATATGCCGTTTTCTCGGATTACAGGGCATAATGATAAATTTTGGTCGTCTAACTTGGCAAAATTACGTTTACGAAAGACGCTGAGCAACTGCATTTACAATCGTTCCTGAATCGTTCGCGCCTATTCTCAAAAAACCTAATATCATGCATAACATCAAAATTTCAATTTTGACGTCTAAATTTTGTCAATATGAATAAGGGCTCGGTTTCAAAGAAGATTGCATCATAAGGAGAGGCGTCTGAAAATTGTGCCAGGGTTTATTTCATGAATAAGCCATAACCATAGAGGTTTGAAACGTTGCAAACAATATCTAAACTTGGTTCTAATCCGATCATGGACAAGAAAAGCAACTGCATTTTTTCCACGTACACAACTCGATTCACTCGAGCCAATTTCTTCAACAATTAAGTAAGCGTAGAAATGTAGAAAAGACGCTTCCATTACAAAAATAACTCGAATGGCTCGTAAATTTCCGCAGAAGCTCACAAACATCACCGAAAGTCATCAGACGTAAGCAAACAGTTCGAGTGTTTTTAAACCGATCTTCGACACACTCCAACATTCAATGACGAAAAAGAGCGTTCTTCTATAAAGTGACAGAATAAACGGGCATTTTAAAATTTAAATTAAGAAAATAATAATTAACATTTCAAAAATCACGGGGAATTACAGCGATGGGATTTCCGACAAAGCACTGCGCAGTGAAAAAGTTAGAAATACACTTTAATTGGAAACGAAAAAGTAGATTAACACTGAAAATAATTGACGATCAAATGAATAAAAGTTATTCTCTTTTTTTCTTCAAAATTCCCCTGAATCCATGCAAACTTGGCACACCTGTTCACAGGATTAACCCAAAAACTAATGGATCTTCACACAACTCGATACAAATTCAATTGTTGACACTTCTTCCGAAATTAAAACGACGTCAGGGAACGAGTGGAACATAAAACTCAATAAATTTCACTGTCAAGTAACTTTTAATGCACATAATTGAAATATAATTAAGCTGAAACGATGAAAAAAAAACATTTGGAAGACACGCACAAATGCTAAAAAAAAATAATCACCTCAAGAGCAATTCTTTCGGCAGTTTGCGGTTGATCAAGGCGTCTCCACGATCTCCTTCTGTCAGCGGGTTTATCACTGCCACTCCATTAGCTTCACGGACCTGAGTTGAAGAAAAAAGTACACAAAAAATGAATTAAATACCGCGAAGTTTTAATGAAGACAGAAATTAAAAAAGCGCGTATTCTTTGGCTTCAAACCCAGCAAGGAAAAAAAAAACTTTTGACACCACAAAAAAAAAAAAGTCAGCGAAGCCAATCAATCGCAGACTGGAACCAATATCCACACGCGAATCGACCTGGCCTTAGCAGTTAACCCGTCGGGTTGGGAGCGAAACTTGCGTCAATTAATTTTAGAAACCCGGGGTCCGTAAATTCAAACTCGGTCGGCGCGAGTCGTTGATCCATAGTTTCTCCGGCAGTATTATAAAATTATAATTGTTTTTTTTTCTTCCTTTCCTTTCCCTTTTCTGAAACTATGACCTTGCGCAACCTTTCTGCCCGTGACGCAAACAAGACCAAATACCCAGATAAGCCCGTAACAAGCTTGAGGAATTGCAACAGATGCTGCACTTCTCCAGACATGCTCACGGGGAATCTAAGAAGTTTCCTTTCGCGAACCTCCGAATGAATGATGAAAACAAAACAAAACAAAAAATGCGAGAAAAGGTACGTATGATCAAAAGTTTAGAATTACCCGTTCGCAGTCGGATATGAGATCAGCTTATTATTATTTTTTTTTTCTCGAGAAAACAAATCAGATAGGTAGGGTCTTTGAATCGACAGAGTTCTGTCAGTGATCAACATTGAAACAACACAAGATATCATCGACATGTGGTAAAGAGTATATATACAAGATCAGATATTCTGAAAAATATTCCTGTTCAACTCGCTCGAATATAAAACTCACATTTCTTGAACCTTTCACTCCCAAAAGGAATTAGGGTGCTTAAATTCACGGCGTTTTGGATGAACAGTGCGTGAAAAACATGTAAAATGCATGTTTCTGGAATGGACGAAATATTTGCTCGCATAAAATGATGAAAAACTCAAAAACTCTTTCATTTTTTTTCTTCAAAGGATCGGATGTTCAAAGCTCGACCTGAACTTTTGACAAAACTATATCCAGTAGTTCAAAGTGAAAATATGGGAAAACATCTAAAAAAAAAACTTGTCCCCTCTGAAAAGGTCATTTCAAAATAACACATCCGCCACTCTGCCGCTCACAAGAATAACTTCAATAGGAAATCTAAACAAATAGGTTCCATTCGCAGTTTTTCTTCGGAAGTTGATGCGTATGAGGATACACTGTCACTAATAAAATACTTTATTTCTTTGTCCATCGAGAACAAGATGTTTTACAGCGAATGTAACAAATAATAACGCATCTCGTATGCGAATGAACATTTTTTCCTCTTCTCGCCAGAGGGACTGAAACATTAGGCTTCGCTTAAAAATATCGAATTATCTAAAATCGTGATTAACCAGGCTAATGCACTGAAGAGATTTCCCGGAATATTCATAATTCTGCCCGAGTATTCATTGAATAACGTTTTTTTTCTTCATATTTTCGAATAAAAATTTCCCATACTCATTCCTGATGATGGATCATCCGGGGAAACTTACACTGTCATTAGCTCGGATAATCAGAATTTTTGAATATACATTACGACCAGCATTGGTTAAAATAGTACTGTACTTCAATCAATTATTAAAGAACAAGTAGAGCGAAGAAGACTGACAGTCGAATTTCGTCTCTCTTCACGCACCTTGCCCTCGATTCCGAACAAGGAAAACTAGGATGACACGAATAAACCTTTTAAAAAAAAAACTGCATCCGTCCGCGTCAATACATCCATGAACCCCCAGGGCCTCAACTCATTAGCATACTTCATCAAGAAAACCAGCCTTATTTTCCTCTCAGTGGCTTCCTCTAAAAATGGGGAAAGCCTCCAGCCACGCACAAGAAAAATAAAAGCACTTTCGATCAACGAAGACTCTCCAGCCCTTTGTATACAAAACAAAGCCTACTGCTGAAAAGCTCCAGATATATATATATATATTTTTTTTTGTCAGAATAAAAATGAACCTAACCTCCAGCTACGTCCTACCATCAACGGGATAAATTATTCCTGAAACAGGGCGGGTACACACACAAAACATGTGAAGGAAGAAGGGACATCGATCCGCTCTATGGGAACACATTCCGAGAGGAAAAATTCTGACGGGGCTACACACACCAGGTGCGGATCTGTCGCAACACAGTGAAGCGAGATGAAACTTTTTTTTCCACCCTGTCATCTCTCTCTTTTTTATTTAAAAAAAATCAGGTTCTTGTTCTCTTTCGGGTTCGATACGTATGCTTTCGAGATTGCGCAGCAAGGAGAGGGATCCAAGAAATGAGAGAATTTTCTTCCAGGAAAAACATGTGCGAGTCACGAAGAGGGGAGATATGGAAGGTTGAAACATTTTTTTTTTTTGCGACTCTGAGATGAATAAAAAATGTCGGTTGATCGAGTACTTGCATTGAACCGGACACTTAGANAAGGAAAAGAAGCACTTTCCGGCCGCCGACCGGGAAAAAAAAAGACACATGCCCCCGATCCTCGTCAGCTACAGGAAATGTTCCTGCCAACGCACAAAGTAGGATACCCACGACAAAAAGGCCCTCCGGATAGGTGGAAGAAGGGGACACCCCGGGGCTATCGCATTTGCGAAAGATATATACAGTATATCTTTGAAAAAAAAAAAATAATAGCAGAGCACAGAATTACTAACGTCGATGCGATTCCTTCCCGAGCAGTTCATGTTGTCATCCTCGTCGTCACGAACGGCCAACAACTGGAACCCCCACAGCCGCGAACGCATTCGTCACCGGCCGCCACCGAGGCGAGTCACGACTCCTTTTTTCAACTCCGCACCATCGTCCACTCACAAGTTCCTGCAACACAACAAAATTGCAACACATTAAAAACAAATAAACTACATATGTATACACTATACACACATACGGTGATTCACGCGACTCACAAGAAGAAGAAAAAAAGCAAAAAATTCCAGGGAGTTCCGAGAATATCATTCCGACATGTGTGTCTCCAATTCAGTGTTCCCTATCCCGTGAGCCGCGGAAAGGCGCCATTTTTTTAAAAGACCCGCGCGAAATTTTCTCCCACAAGAAACATTCATCAAAAGTAGCAATGAAGTCTGTTATTTTTAAATGATATTTCTGTAAGACTAAGGCAGTTGAAATTAACCCATGAAAAAAAGTTGAATTTTCTCTTAATGACACTTCCGACAAATTTTCATCTCCTGAAAAAATTATTTCGATTTTTCATTGAGAAACCTTCTAAATTTTTCTTTAAAGACATTCAAGTATAGCTGCTTTATTGGTTTTTGACTCGACTTTTGCATAAATTCAGAATCTTTGAATATCTGCCATGAAGTCTTCAAAACAAAAATTTTTCGAGTCTGAAAGAATGCTGTGAAACAACGCGAGTTTTGCATAAATTCAGAAACTTCAAGTAGCTGCCATGAAGTCTTTAAAACAAAAATTTTTCGAGTCTCAAAAAATGCTGTGGACTTTATCGCGAGTCCAAAAATTTTTAAAAAGGAAATTCGCCGCTCAGCGAAAAATTTTAGAGATTTGCCAGTCTGTAGTCCCAGAAAGGTTGGGGACACTCTAAATCACACGAAATTGGTCCCCAAATAGCAAATATAGAATTTCGGGGAGTCGAAAACATAGTTCATCATGAACTTCGTGTCAAAGGAACACGAGACTACGTTAAGAGGGGAGACAAATACTGGCACCAATCCAGCAAGTGTTCGGCACCTGGAAAAGGAAAGCAAAAATATCTAGCCTTTTCTGTATTAGGACTCCAGACTGATGACTGGGAAAAGCAAAAAGATTAGTGGCATACCCCCCAAATAACAAGGCTTATCGTCTGTCAAAATTAAATAGATGAAAACGGAAAATTGTGGAAACCTAACCAAAACAAAAAAAGACAAGAATGATGTACACTATTTATCTGCTGTTTGCTCCTCTGAGAGTGAATAAATATTTCTTGATTCTCATTGAGAAAAACTATCAGCTTTCCTGTATTCTGGCGCTGGTTTTGGATGACTTTTCCTCACGCTGACCTACATTCCTTTGACTTGAACTGACATTCATGACTCAAAATGAAGAAAACTAAGAGGTGTCTCAATACAGTTGAACCTTGATAACTGGAACCTCCCCGAGTCGAATTTTTGCAAGTCCCTGGCCTTTCCTCTCAAACCTAGGTAACGCAAATTTTCTGAGGCCTTTTGGCTGTTATTTTCTTGACACACGAAAGAGAAAAGCAATAAAGGAGTAATTTGATTCGTTTTGAAAGGAAGTGAAAGACTCATTGGACAATTGAACCCTTGCCTCCAACTTCACCATCCTGTCAACTCATTCAAGAAACAATTCAAGGCCCAGAATAGCACCCTTTACAATTTTCCTCAATTCTTGTATCTCTCACAAAACAAAACAATTTCTTCCCTAACTCGATATTTTTGCTGGTCCCTTGAATTCGACTCGAAGAGTTTCGACTTATATCGACCTTCTATATATCGCTGAGTGAATCACAATCCGAATTTATTCTGAAAAGGATGACACGTTCCCTTTCCGACAAATTCAGAACCCTCGTCGTCAAAATGGCGCCAAGAAATGTTTCCCTCCACACTGTCCAACGTTCCCACAAAAATAAAAGTTAATACGATCACACACACACACACACACGTTCATAACTCCCCGAGATATTCACATTTAAAAAAATGTTGTTTCGGAAAGTGTCTCGTCGCACCCTGTACGACAAGCGACAAGGCAGCAGCAACAGCAGGAAGTAGCCTAGCTCACGAAGGAAAAAATAATAATAATAATAAATACGAGAAACTTCCGGAATAGTTCAGTTCAAAGTTGAGTGAACTTCCAGCGAGCGTCGGGTTTTATTTTCAGTCGCGCGGCAGGGACCCCACCGAGAAACTGCGGAGCAGCCGGGGTTCTGGAAACGAAGACACCCTGCCACCCCCCCGCACAAAAGAGAGATACAGTATATATATATATATATA